TGCTAATACAGAATGCTTATAGACACACACACACTTCATTCACTGATTTCAAAGTATATTTCATGGAAATAGTCACTAATTTTGCTAGAAAGCTGGAACATAAAAGGATATTACAATTTTGCTAGAAAGCTGGAATGTAAAAAGGTATTACAATCTTACTAGTGAATATAAATGTAAAAGACTTCTGATGATGGGAACAATTTAGGTCAGAGGCTCCCAAATGTTGGTCCTCCAGGTGTTTTAGATTTCAGCTCCCATAATTCTTCACTGTTGATCAAGTTAGCTAGGACTTCTGAAAGCTGAAGTCCAAAACAGCCAGAGGACCAACAGTTAAGGACATTTAAAATTGAACTAAATTGAGGAAAATATTATAAAGTTATAATAATAAAATTATTGTCTTAATATTGTCTGCTCACATTTTATCCCACTTCATATTTGTTACATCTTTCTTATTCCATTGTTATCTAATACAATGTTGGCTGAGAGTAGACTATGCAGGCAGTCCAACAATATACGGAAGGCCACATGATTCTCATTCTCAGATCAGTCAAATGTGTTTACCTTTTTTTGAAAAAAAAACTTTTTAAAAACTAAATTTATAACATGCATTTTCCACAGATACACAAAGAGGGAATATTAACTTAGCATATGATTACTAGGAAACAAAGAGGGCTAATATCTTTTTCTAAGTACAAACCTCATTTATTTGACTGATGCAAGAAAATACTTTATCGCTTCTTTTAAGGTGTGTATCTTGGGGTGTGAGGCAACTATGGGAAAGGTTCATGCTGCTAACAGCCAGATCTTCATTTTCTATTCATTGACACGATAAGGCACTTATTTATGCATTGTCAGGCACAAACATGTACACAGCATAAAAGTTACTGGAAGAAATTAAAGCCTGCTTTGCTATGTTGCAGGACTGCTAGGCTAAGTGCTTTGAAATGATGATGTATGAGGTAGATGTTGCATATTAAATAAAGATATTTAAATGATAAAGCCCCTTTAGTGAGCACTGATAAATGATAAATGTCCCAGGCCACGGGCTGTGCCATCCATCCTATTCATGAGTTACCACAGTCAATAGTGGAGCATCCCCAGTGATGACACATGGACTCGAAGGTTATTATTCCCTGATTTCTAGAGTCACCAAATCTGTCAACTCTCTGAACATTATGTTTTAAACTTTGTGTTACATTAATAACTTTCTTCACATTTCTCAGATGGGAATGATTAATTCTACCCTCTTGCGCACAAAAGCAAAATGGGGTAGTGCATCAACGAGTGGAAGGCAAGGAAGGTGTCGGATCATCCACTGATGAGAGCAGCAGCAGAGCAGGAAAGGCAGCTAGTGGGTGAGGGTGAGGGGAGCTACTGGAAACTTCAGCTAAGTAGAACAAATATAAAATTGTGATCTCGAGGAAGAAAAGTAATGATAACAGTAAGCACACAATAATGGCTTTTCTCTGCACTTAGGTAAAAGCTGAATTTTTGATGTGCGCAGTATATTTTCATAAAATTTTATATACTATGTTTTATACACTTATTGGCTATTCCATAATAATGTGTGCGCTAACAGTAAAATTGCTTTCAAATTTATGTGTGTTATTTATTCGTTCCCACGTAACAATGCTTTTTGTTGTAAAAAATATTCTGTTTATTAATGTAACTTTACAACCACTGCATCCAAGATCCGTGGTAAATTAATGACATTTTTATTATTTTATAGTGTCATTAAATTTTTACTGATCACTCCATCAAACAGAAGCCATAAAGGCCATAATGTAAACTGGGACACTTAGATCAGGGGAGCAGGAAACCATTCCATATAGTCTGAAGTAAACGGCTTGCTATAAATGATATTTATACCATCTTTAAGCATGTGAAAATACTTGGACAAGTTTGGCAAAACTGTTTCAATAGTGCAGTGGATTGTGTACTTAAATAACTGTTTACTTGCTAGAAATCCAAGAAGTGTGTGTGTGTGTGTGTACAGGAGCAGAGGGTTAAACCATATAAAATATGACTGATTACACCCATCTCTTGAAAAACAGTATATGAAATGGCACCCCTCCCTTTTGGATTACCACAACCGATCATACTATAACCATTCCTCAAATTATTTCAACATGCTTTTCCCTTTTTTTTCCACATTTGAAATTTATGCTGAACTGGAAAACGACATACATGCTGATCATTGTGTGAAAGGGCTTTCTTCTTCCCTTTAATCTTTGCAAACAAATACATTTTGTTTTAAGTAGACATAGCCGGACACTGGTGTAATTAGACTTATTTCAAGGGTCTAGCTTAATAGTTAACCAACAATTATTTTAAAAGTCAATTTTGAGATTCCCTGTTAATGTGGGTTATTTTCAGAAGCTACACAGTATAAATGCCACTTGAACAATCAACACAGTCTGCAGACAATATTCCATTCGCAAAATGTGCAAGTAATTCTAGAACCTTTGTCTACACACATATATACACACATTACAGCCATGTTATTCCACACAAAGCCCACTAAAAATACCAGTGACTTGCTTGTTGCTTGGTACCTGAGAAATGAGCCATGGTAAAAGAAAAAAGAAAAAAGAAAAAGAAGGGGAGGGGAGGGGTGAGGGAGACAAAGAGAAGGAAAGAAGAAATGAAAAAAGGAAGAAATGAAGAAAGGGTTTCTAGAAAAGGAAGTACTCAGGGTTGCTGCACTGATAACCTAGCAGGTATTGTAGCATTATATCCCAAATAAAGGAAGTGTTGTACTTTTGTTTCCTAAAAAGGTGACTTAAAGCAATGTAACAATGCTGTGCTTAAAACATTCAAATAGAGCTGATAGACTTGCTTAAGCACTTATCTGAACATAAGAAGGACTGAAACCTGAGACAGGAATGCTGATGATACGTAGCCTCTCCCTCCATGTCCCTGAGCACCTACTTAATAAAGCTGCTTCTACACAGCCAATTTATCTGGGTCAGGATGTTGCTTTAAGAAAGTCAGTTTGCTTTGGAGTGGCTACACAACGCACAAACTGGCTGCAAGCTGTGACAGAGTCCACAAAGCTCCACTGATCCGGATCCTCCTGAAGCTAGGATTATTCGTTTTCTTTACTCCTCCAGCAAAATGTGCTGGTTGAAAACAGCTGATTAGTGCTTGACTAAAAGCAGAGCAAGGCAAGAGAAAGGAAAAATTACAAATCCCATGGAATGCTGTGCTTTCCTTCCCATGGAGAAGATGTTTGTTTACCTTCACTCAGAGTTGTGTATCCAGTTTCTTTCTGTGACTGCTGAAGTGTTAGCCTTGTCTACATAAGTGCTCTCATGCAACTTTCAGATTTTTGGCACTACACTGCTAACACATCGATGAACTGTGGTGGTTTTTATGGCTTTATCAAGAATTTCCAGTGAGTCTTTTAACATGCAGTTTCCAAGTTAGAGATTGGATTATGGGTGTATGTTTTGTAGCCAACCTCGAGCTGGCTTCAAGCTAGATTTTTAGTGCCTGTGTAGATGGAACCTGATTAGGACTTCATGGATTGTGTATAAAGATATGATGAAGATGCTACAACAATAACACAGATCCAAAGAGCAGAAATTCAGGGAAGCTTTGTAATGCTGTTCATCCAAATTAGATTTATACACAGAGTCCTCAGTCCAAATTGCATCCAGGTGTTTGGGGATATTGGGAAAGGTCTTCTACAAGGGTTGAATGAAAAGTAATGCCTCTACCCTCATTACTTGGGTTTGGATGGGAATATTTTAATAAATCAAACACAGAAATAATCCTTAGAATGTGCTCTTTAACTACCAATATTAACTTTTTTGACATAATCATGAGACAGTTGGATACATTTCTGCCAACGATGAACAAGTTTTCTGAAGCTGTCACAGAAGAAGTCAACACTTTTTTTCTGCAACCCATCATGCACAGATCTTCCAATAGCCAAGCAAAGCAATAATGTGACCCACATGTTCTTGTGAAATGCCAATTATGCTTGAAATGTCTCTCTGAGTGATATGATGACCGTCCTGAATCTATCTGTCAACCTTTTGCTTGTGAAACTTGGTGGTTTCTGTCACAGGATGTCCAAATCTTTGTTTGTCACGCAAGTCAGATGTTCCCACCTCAACATCTTAAACTTACTCGCCCAACGACGCACAGTACTCACATCAACACAATCAGCATAGACAGCTTGCATTCTCTGATGAATCTCCCTTGGGGTGACACTTTCTGCTATCAAGAATTCAATGACTGCACATTGCTTAAGTCGCATTGACCGATCATCTGTGCAGGGTTCCATACTTCCATACTTTAATAACACAACCGTTCAATGATAAGGCTTCCTGCCAAAATGTAGAGGAGAGTCTACTGAACAAGCCAGTACCTGCCGCATACCAGTACTACCATCTGTTGAGGAGTTTTGAAGGTGGAGGCATTACTTTTCATTCAACCCTTGTATATGTACTGACCCAAATTTTAGTCCTGAGACTGTTCTGATGATTATCTAAACAGGGCTCTAGACAATCAATTTAAAAAGGAAATAATACTTTGTAATGTGTATAGTTGCTTTTATTCCTCCTTGAAATGGTTAAGCTGCACGTTATCCAAAATGTTTCCACAACATGGTTTGTGTCAAAGCATTGGAGGGATGTCTAGAATCACTGGGGGGAAGAACCGTGAAAGCCAGCAAGGAAAGGAAACCTATGCAGGTGGTTCTTCAAGAAATCATGTCATCAGATTGATATAGGGAAAGATAACTAAGTGATTTATCTGCTAGCATTTTAACAGTGAAAACTAAGTGACATTTTCTTTCCTTTGTCTTGTTCATTAAGTTCCCGACAGGAAATGACTTCTGAAGATACTGAAGCAAGCCTGCCAGAAAGGCATTGTCTCAAAAACCAATGCTAGACTTGTATGATTTTGAATGAATTTGAATTTGTGTTGGCCCAATGTACAGCATTTCAAATTTATGATATTTTTCCAGAAACAAATAAATAAAGTCTCACCCACAACACACAGGAGGAGAAAGCACTGTAGTCTTGGTGTTGTTGGAAGGAAGTGGCTTCCTTTGCCTCCTTAGAAGGCAGGTCTGAGATGAATGAAGAAACTGGAAACTTGGAGTGTTGGTGTGGGCGGATGGGGTTTCTTCTGCTTGCCTAGGTGAGAGATAAGCAACTAAAGACTTACTGACTGGAAGAGAAGGGTTTCTTTTGCATAGTAAAGGTAAGTGTTGCCATCGATAGAAGTAATAGTGCCACTCTATTCTGATTTGATCAGACCTCACCTGGAATTCTGTGACCAGCTCTGAACACCACAGTCGAAGAATGATATTCACAAGCTGGGACATGTCCAGAGGAGGTTGATTAAAATGGTCAAATGTCTAGAAACCATGCCCTATGTGGTTTAGGCAGTTGGGGTGTTTAACTTGCAGAACAGAAGATTGAGAGGGGACATGATAACCATGTTTAAATAATGAAATGTTGTCATATGCCAGAGCAAGTAAGCTTGCTTTCTGCTGTTCCAGAGACTAGGGCATGAAGAAATGAACTCATATGACAGGAAGAGATTCCACCTAAACAGATGCTGGTGATAAAGGCATTTTGACAGTATAATGTGCAGCCTTGGAGCATGGTTGAGTTTCCTTGAGGTTTTTAAACAGAGAATGGATGACCACATCTCAGGAATGCTTTTATTCCTGCATGGGAGGAGGTTGGATTGGCTGGCCCTTGTGATCACTTCTGACTTTATGTTTTTGTGATTCTAAACTCTTGTGTTTTATGTTTTCTACTTCTTTAAATAGTTAAAGTTGTAGCTATTTCACCTCATTGAAAATGAATTTCTCTGATCACTAATGATTTTTTTATGGAAGTGGCTTCCTTTCACTCATTTATGGCAATCTCTATTTATATCACGAGTCTGGAAATATAATCCTGATGTGCAGTAGCACTTGCCTTAATCCAAGACCAGGAAAAGAGCTTTGGATCCTGGAGCTAACTCGGTTGGAGGTATGAAATTGGTAACTGGTTCTGAGTTTCATTTATGAAAGTAAACACTGATACATTTATATCAGTTTCCTTAAAGAAATGTTATCAATGAGCTGGTAGAGTTTGCTAGTTACATTTGTTTTGAAATATTATTGTTTGTTATTTATAATTAAAATTTAAATAAAGAATGGGTATTGTCACGAGCTTTCATGGCTGGAATCACTAGGTTGAGCTCACATCCTCTGAGGATGCCTGCCATAGATGCAGGCAAAATGTCAGGAGAGACTGCATCTGGACATGGCCATACAGCCTGAAAAACTTACAACAACCCAAATAATGGGTAACTTGTGGCCCTCTAGATGTTGTTGGACTTTAATGCATAGCAGCACAACATGACCTATATTTCCCATTCTGGATTGGAAATATAGGTCAGAACCTTCTTGAAGGTCACAGATTGTCCACCCTGATATAAATAAAAATAAATTTGTTTATACATAAAACAAACTGTTATTTGAAGTACAAGTGTATGATTTAGCATTAATATAAATCCATATCTGTTCAGCTTATAGCCTATATGTTTGGCACTGTATGGCCGATTGCATGCTAAATGTTTTTATTAGAAATTTATGTTTTAAAATGTTTTATTATTCCTTTCTTGCCTTATTACAAATACAGCAAACAGATAGACATGGGGATGTTTGAAATGATCTGATTTGAATTCTAGGCTGTGTGGCGTGCATGAAATGCATTTGCAGAGGTGTCATGTTTTTATTCATAAAAGTAGTGTTTGGAAGTCATTTGGTAAAGACATGCTTTGGACTTTGCAATTAGTGTGCTTGCTCCAGCCTGTACAATGTCTTGCACTAACTTTCTTTAAAGTAAGAATGCTCAGGGTGGAAGTCCCACTGAGAGATAGGGCAGGATACAAATAATGTTGCTGTTGCTGCTACTGCTGATGCTGCCACTGTTATTAAAAAGGCTGACTTCTAACAAAATGATGAGTACTCAATATCTGTCTTCCCCTTGCATTCCCCCATTCTATTCTGAAATGGCCCCAGCCCTTGTCAGCAAATGTTTATGGGATAAGATGAACAAAGAAGAATAAATAGAAATCATTGCCTCTCTCCTTCCATGAACAGGGTGTTTTTTTGTGACTGGAACCCTACTTCTTTATATAAAACTTGATATTTAGCAATGCCAACGTGATATGTTTGCAATAGAAAATAAGAAGGGGCAAGAATATTAAAATGAGAGAATTTAATCAAGACTAAAGTTAAAGTTGGGAGAATATTCAATAGAAGTCTTTCTGAAAGTCATATGTAGGGCTGTATACCTCCAAGCATTATAGTCACAATTCTGAACTACTGGCACACTTGTAGTTACTGTCTCAAAAAACAGACCTCTTCCAGTTAGATTATTTTCACTAAGATTATTGCTCGCAACAAAGCCTTCCCCCCCCTTAAATAGAACACTTTATGTCTTATGTTCATCTGGTTTTAATATGGTTTTAACCAATTGCAAGGTTATTTATAAGTTTGCAGCTCCCCAGTAGTTAGAGTTACGAAGCATTCAGTCTTAAGCATATCCAGTTGTGTGGTAACCCAACTACTGCCTTCATGTGGTTTCGATCGTTTTATTTATCCACAAAAGCATGATCCATAGCAATATACGAACACTTTGGGATTAACCCTTTGTTTTCAATTAGTTCTTTCATATATTTCAGCAAAAACCTCACACAGATTTATTCTCATCTAGTACAAGATTCTGGAGGCTTCTGTTTTGATTAGTGAGGTTCCCCCTAGTCTTGAGAATGATGGCTATATGCCAGATCAGACCCATACTAAGTCCCAGGAAAGGGAAATGATTGTTCTGTAACATAATAAAATATAAACTTATGCAGTCCAAACAGAATTTAATATGTTTCTGCTCAAATATAAAGAAGAGTGCCTAGACACATAAAAAGTGCAAGCTTAGATGTGTGAAAATTCTATGGACACAAAGGAGGAGAAGAAGAAGAAGAAGAAGAAGAAGAAGAAGAAGAAGAAGAAGAAGAAGAAGAAGAAGAAGAAGAAGAAGAAGAAGAAGAAGAAGAAGAAGAAAAAGAAATTATTTTTGACCAGTCCTATCTTCCTGAGGGGCTCGGGGTGGCTTCCAACAAAAGTGGCAAACAACAATGCCATAATAAACAAACAGGAGACAAATAAAATAAAAAACAGCAAATAAAACAACCTCAATATAAACTTATAATAACTAACCGAATATTAAAAGACTCAAATAAACATATTATATCACATCACACACACAATAAAATCTAAACAGCTAAAATACATTAAAAGTATAGAATGGTTTAAGGCAACCAACAGCTCTGAGGTAGGTATCCAGTATTTAAACGAGGATATGCATTAAGATGTACTAATCCTCCTCCTCTCCATAGGCTAAAGTGCATAAGTTTTTAGTAGCTTTTTAAAGGAGAGGAGGGAGGGGCCATTTTAGTCCTTTAGGGAGGGAGTTCCAGGGATGAGGAGTGATCACAGAGAAGGCCCCCTCTCTCATCCTCACCAACCATGCTTGAGACGGGGGTAGGACAGACAGCAGGGCCGACTCTGCAGACTGCAACACCTATACTGGTTTGTATATGGATATGCAGTTTTTCAAATAGTCTGGGTTTGAGCCATTTAGGACTTTATAGGTAATATTATTTATTATTTTAGAGATTTATATCCCACCTTTCTCACCCCTGAAGGGGGACTCAGAGTGGTTTACAATTGGCAGTCATTAGATGCCACAAAAACAATAGCAACAAAATCATAATTAAAACATTGATTAAACAATAATAACCAACACTTTGCATTTAACCCGTAAGCAGTTCATTACTGATCACAGGCACAGGTTTATGGGCAGGATGGTATCCTTGGCTTTAGTGGAAAAGAGTATCTCCCTTTTCTTTTCCTAATTGCTTCCTTTTTATTCTTTTTTACCATCAGCATAAATCTAGTGATTTATTTCACTTGGTGGCCTCTGGGTCAATCCCAATGCCAGAAGATTAGATTTAATAGGCAGATGACCAAGCAGGATAAACATTGTATTCATGTAATGCACAAAGATCAGCAAATATGTCACTTTAGGGAAGACCTTTGCATTAAATGCCACACTTGTCTTCCTTCCTTCTTTGAATTAGGAATGGATGACACATCCCCAAAAGGTGCAGGAAATTACTAGTAAGGCTTTACTTCACTTGACTTCTATCTAAGTTGTTTTATTGTTCTTTAAAAAAATATCTGTAGTATGATCTTGTCTTCAATCCAGTTTGCAAGGCATGGATGGCAAACAAATAGTATGATTTCCCACCTGGCCATTTTTATCTTCTAGTCGAAGACTGGTGCCATGCAGAACAACCCACTGAATGCTTTAAAAAGATGGGATTTATCTACCTTCCTTGGGAAGTGAGTTTCACAGTCTAGATACTTTCTGAAAAAGCCCACCAACCTAACATCATGAGGTAATGACCTCTTTCTGGAAGGCCCTCTTTCTGAAAGGTTCATATGAGGAAAAATGGTATTTCCAATATGTTGGCCCCAAGTCCTTTACAGCTTAGTAGATTTGACTAATAAATGTAACAAAATGAAAATGGGGAATCTGTTCATTATACACAGACTTAGGAAGCACATGTTGAATTCTTCAATTCAAAAACGCAAGAAACATATTTCAGAAGCTTTCTTCTAGTTCAAGGAATATAGGGAAAGGGTGTTTACACATTTTTTAAAAAATTGCGTTTCTGGATTTTTTGTGAAATTTTTGCCTGGGATTTTTAAAAAACAAACCAATAATAATATAATAATAATAAACCTTTATTTGAACCCCGCTACCATCTCCTGAAGGACTCGGTGCGGCTTACAAGAGGCCGAGCCCAAATACAACAATAAAACAGCAGCAACAACAACTACACAATAACTCAAAAAAAACAAAGCAATGACAATTAACAACACCCAATGATGCAATTAAAAACAATGGCTGGGCCAATTGTAACAATTAAAGTTAAAAAGTGCTGGGCATGACGGGGGGGGGGGTGTTTGGAGCGGGATGGGGATACAGATATCCTAAATCTCTGATAAAGTGCATTGGGACATAGTGCTAGGAGTTTCCTTATTTTGGAAAGGCACACTGGAACACTG